AGGTAGAGGCTTAGTGATAGGAGCCCAGGCCAGTGTTCTCATGGGGGCAGCCACATTCAAAGCCCCTGAGCGGGGGCGAGGACCAGAGACAAGCCCGGCTGCTGCTGGTGCATGTCTGCAGGATGAGCCAGAGCAGAGCAGAGAGCTGTCTCCACCAGCTTCGTCTCCTGCATAGTACCCTTGCCGGTGCCCCGCCACCAAATGAGCCCTCCCTCCTTCCTAAGCTTCTCAGGCTCCAAGGGGAGGGTTCACACAGGTCTCATCCACCGCCTGGAAGGCGGAGTGGGGCAGGGCAGGGGCGGGACCCCATGACCAGTGATTCCATCACTCCTTTTTAAGAAGTAGGGAGGCGCAGAACTGCATCTCTCCTGCACAAGTAGTCTCTGGCCTCTTCTCAGCAGGATTTCTATTTAGTTAAGCTGGGGGTGGGAGTAGGAGTGCTGTTAACATCAACTCTGCTGCATCTTTTATACCCACACCTTCAGGGCAGTGAATCCCAAGTGATTTATTCACTTTAGGAAGCTGTCTACAAATCTCCCAGACCTTCCCACATACACCTCATTCAAGCCCAGATGCAGCTGCTCTACCTTAAACCCCCAACACAGGGCACTGGAAAAGCAGAACATCTCCATCACCTGGCTGCTTGCCCCTCCCAGCCAGTGATCCTCCTCTGCTTACATAAGGCCTACCAGACTGACCTCTGTGAAAAGGCACAGCAAGGAGAGGCTGGCTGTGGCAGTCTATCTTGACTACGCCAGGCACAGGCCCAAGTTCTACCTGCCCTCCTCCACTGGCAGTCCCCTAGGCCTGTCTCCTAAGAAGCTAGCACAGACCCAGGCTACACTGCAAGGGGGAGCTGCTCCCTGTCAATCTCTGACCAGTGTAATTTTCCCTTCATTACTTGTGATACAGGTCCCCAAAGGTCTTCTGAATCACCTTCAGGCTACAAGTTGGTTGGCTGAGGTCAAGCCAATTGAGTACCTTGGCCTCAGTGGTTCTTGTGAGAGTAGGCCAGGATTTCCAATAGCTAGATGACCTCCAACTGGTAAAAGCTGTGGCTAAGACAGCCAGCCAATGGTTCTAACTGCTCTATAAAGAAACAGGAGCTGCATCCCCAAAACACACTCGTTCCAGTGGTATTGGGTTCAGGTAAAGAGAACAGAATGCTCTAGAATAGAGCTCCTTCAAGTCCCACACCAAAGAAAAGTGAAAGGTGGCCAAACAAGCAAACCCAACTCTGAGCCACACCCCGTCAGAGAAGCCTAACAAACACACTGGGATGGGGGAGTGTAAAGGAAGTGTCCATCCCTCATGTTCCCAGCTCCCAGAACAGCAGAGGTTGAAGTGTTCCACACATACTGTAAATGCCTCAAGCCCTCAAAAGTTAATTTGGCCCTTACCTTATCTTTACTGGTGAGGCTACTGTGGATGATGAGGAAGTACCAGCATTTGATCCCTGGCAGTGACCTGTACCCACTCAGCCTCTATGCCTGGAGTTCAAAGCTCAGGGTTGGGGAGGTCAAGTGTCTCAGCCCAAAGACCTCCTCCTCACACACGCAGCACCCTGCTCTTCTGGGTCTACTTATGTCCTGGTGGCATAACTTTCTTAGTGTGACTGGAAATGGGATTCACCAGCTCTGCCTTGCAGTTTGTAAGCAGGTAGGCTAGGAGGCTAGACTTGGCCTGTCACAGGGATATCACAGTAAAGACCTCACTTTAAGACTGGGGATGGACTCAAGTCACCAGCTTTTCAGCTTCAATATCTCCCTGCCACAAACAACTTAGAAAATAACCAAAAGGATTCTACTTTGGTTTACAAGAACCCTGACCAAGAAGACCAAAGCAGGTCTGGCTCTCACCCCAAGTCCTTAGAAAACAGCTTGACAGGAACCTACTATACAAGGAGGGTACTCCCTCTTAACCATTCTATAATGAAATTCCCAAAGGCCAGTCAGGCCTATAATCCCAGCACCTAGGAGGCAGACAAGAGAATTCAAGGCCAGCCTCTGCTACATAGTAAATTCAGGCCAGCCTGAACTATATGAGGCCCTAATTAAAAAAGAAATGCCCAAAGGCTGCCTGGGAGTTTTTTTTCCTAAGGAGAGGAACAAGAGGTGGCAGGGCTGAGATGGTTCCTCCCAAGGTACCTTTCCCTAAATATCAAAAGGATGTGAGCTTTGGAAGAGGCTTTTCACTATAAAAGGAAGATCCAATGGAGGGCAGTCCAGGGTGCCAATTGGCCCCACCAGTGACTTCTCCCAAGAAGGGTAACACACAAACAAGGTTAGACATGCTTGATCCAATGGAACAAAGGTCATCTTTTATTTGGGGTCAGTAGAGGCAACACACTGGATACAGGGTCCTGTAGCACCCAAAGAAACTGGAGGAGTGTAGTCCTAGGGTTAACCTACCAGGCCTCCTCAGCAGTCTTCAGTTGCTACACTAAGTGCGACACCTTGTGGTCAGAGAGCAGGCTGACTTTTTACTTCTGTTTTAAGAACAAGCACTTCCTAAGATTTTCTTTCATTCTGGGCTGCCAAGAATTGAGATTTCAGTCAAACAGTGGCGGCATACACCTTAAATCCCAGCTCTTGGGAGGCAGAGGCAGGTGGATCTCTGAGCTTGAGGACAGCTTGGTCTACAGAGTGAGGTCAGCCAGCGCTACAAAAAAAACAAACAAAAACAAAAAAACAAAACAAAACCATGGGGGGGGAGAGTTTGAGTTTTCATTCAGAGAACACTACATTTTAAGTAAACAAAAACTTCAGTGATGCTGCGCCCTGTGGTGGTATGTGTTCTCCAAAATATTGTGCACACAAACTTATCTGGGGTCAGAGAACAGAACAGCCACTAGATAGAGTCCAGAAAATGATGGCACACACACCTTTAATCCTAGCATTCCGAAGGCAGAGATCCATCTGGATCTCTGTGAGTTCAAAGCCACACTGGAAACAGCCAGGCATGGCGACACACGCCTTTAATCCCAGGTGGCAGGAAGCAGAAAGGTATATAAGGTGTGAGGACCAGAAACTAGAAGCTTTTGGCCTGGTTAAGTTTTTAGGCTTTTGAGCAGCAGTTCAGCTGAGATCCATTCAGATGAGGACACAGAGGCTTCCAGTCTGAGGAAACAGGATCAGCTAAGGAATTGGTGAAGTGAGGTTAGCTATGGCTGGTTCTGTTTCTCTGATCTTTCAGCATTCACCCCAATACCTGGCCCTGGGTTTGTTTTTATTAATAAGACCTTTTAAGATTCGCGTTATAGCGCCCCATGCTTCGCTGGCCTGGGTCCGAGTGGTAGAATCCGGAGGTGCTCAGAGACCCATAATGTCAATAGTCCATTCATCAGTCCATGACAAATGGGTTGTGGGGAAGGTGACTGGTACAGCAATGGTAAAAATTGCTAAAGTAAAAGCAACCAGGCTTGTTTTGGATCCCTACTTGCTAACGTACTTCAACAAGCAGAAAACCTACTTTGCTCACAATGCCCTTCAGCAATGCTGTATTGAGGACATCGTGCTCCTCAGAGCTTTGCCCGTCGCAAGATCAAAGCATGTGAAGCATGAACTGGCTGAGATCATTTTCAAAGTTTGGTGGAGTTATCGACCCAATCACAGGGAAGCCTTGTGTAGGAACCACCTACCTAGAGAGTCTACTCAATTCAGAAACCACTAACCTAAGCAAAACTCTGGAAGAACTCAAAATCTCTTCAACCTAAGGAAGAAGGAGCCAAAGGGATTTCTGTATGTCTCCTCCATGGCTTCCATTACTAACCGTCCAGTTTCTCTTGTGACATTAATGAAATAGTAAAAGTTTAAAAAAAAAAAAAAAAGACCTTTAGGAAATAAGGAAACTTTGGAATTGATGCTAAAGAGTTACCTAAGTATAATGGAGTACTCCAGGACCAGGGAAGAACTAATGTCTAGTGCTAAAAGGAAGTTCAAGTCTATAGGGCTCACCCACTGCCACAATGCCATACATAGACACATCTCAGCCCATAGCTGCAGGCATTGTAGGCCCAGAGTTGTCGATCCACCTTTTGGCAACAGCATCATAACCTCCCCTCAAGCCAGGCATGACCCTTGCTCACAGCCTACTAGGGAAGGACATTAACACAGACAGCATGGCATTTAAGAACGAAGGTATAACTAAAACCTTTCCAGGAGAGGGTATATACTAATTGTAAATTACAGAGCTAAACCAAAATCATCATGAAGGTTGCATTTCAGCTTTACCACTGGTCTCTGAAATGAAGTTGGTTTAGGAGACTCTTTTGGGTCCCCTGGTGATGACTGATGTCCAACACAGACAATGTCACTGCCTCCACCTGGTGCCTTACTGCAGATACATTAAACACAAACACTAAAAGGGTAAGATGTTGGCTATGATGGAGTCAAGTGTCTAAAAACTGAGAACTTGCCAGCTTAGACACTTAAATCTGATGTGTTTTCTGGGAAGTTTGCCTTTCCACGATCTGTAGAAATCAACATCTAATACAGGTCACCTAAAAAGGATGTTGCGAGAACTTGGAGAGCCTCAAAATACGTAAGCCCAGTCCATGGGGACCTGAATTTTCCACTGTCCATCAAGATAGGAAGAATACAGGCTTCTGGCCAACTGGACATAAGGAATTCAGAGAAAAAGCTCAACAGGCTCTCAGGGATGCTGCTTCTTCATCACTCAAAGGAGCTGAAAGAAGGGATGGGTATTAAGGTTGACAGCAATACCAGGGCCACCCCCTATCCTCCAAGCCTTCACTGTAGTCCTTAGCCACTGTTTGTGGTCAGAGAGCAAGTTGACTCTTCTATCTTAACAAGAACAGAACAAGCACTTTCTGTACGTATTTTCTCTCATTCATAAGCACAGTTTGATAATGAGGCCAAATTGCTCCTCTCCTAGACCCCTGTTACCAGGGGTAACTATAGCTGTTACCAGTCAACCCACTTAGCCCCCACTGGAGGTCTGCAGCACTGGCTCCACCATGAAGTCTTCAGCTCTTCCACTAAGAATACACACAGTATTTATTTGATAGGCATTTAAGTTTTATATTTTTAAGTGATCAAATCTAATAAAATGGGAAACAAAACAAAACAAAACAAAAAAAAAGGTTTACTAAACAGGTCCAAAAGACAACACAGGAGATAAGCAATAAAACCAAAGCGTGAGTGGTCCTTGTCCACATCAGCCTCAAGAGGGAGTTAGGAACCTCCAATCTCCTCCAAATCACACATTTTGGTTTTTGCTTTCTTTTTAAGGTTTTTAAAAAGTGAAGCCCAGGAGTCCAGCAGGCCATCCTGTGCTCAGCAGCATGTCCATCCCGCCTGCATCAAGCTCTGGCCCCTGCGTCCCTCAGCAGCAACTGCAGATTGCAGCTTTTGAGCCTCATTCCTGTGCTATGCTTCTCAGCACGTACTTGACCGTGTAGGCAAAGGCCGCAAACCCAACTATAACAAACAAGTTCGCCAAAGCGCCGCCCAGGAGTCCATGATGCCTGTTGGCCTGTGGGAGCCCAGCGAGGTTTGGGCCGGCAGCAGGTGCATGCCCATTGAGGAGCTGGATCCCATTCTGGCCACGGTGCATCTCCCCATCAGGAACCACGTCTGGCAAGGGAAGGTTCTGGGGCCTGCTACTTAGTTCATCTTGTGCTTTCTGTTTCTGTTTAATTTCCTGAGAGAAAAACACAAGAACCCTCAGTTGTCTTAACAAATCTGTTCCTTTGGGAGCAGCACTCAAGTGTTTATACACCACCCAGAACACAGTTCTCCATTCCCCTGCAGTAGATCCTAACCCAAGAGAGTATAGCTCTTGGTCCCACTTAACAGGTGAGGAAACCAAGCAAGGTATCAACATGACTATTCTGTGCCTGAGCCAGGTGCCAGCAATGCCAAGTAACAATGAGCCATCAAGCATTACACCGCTATCCAGCTTGGTGCTTCTGCTCATTGTCATGGTCTCAACTCCAGCCCAAACCAGGGAACACTTAACTCCACATGGCATAGTACATACCCAGCCCTTGCTGTAAGAAGCAACTGATATACCACCTAGCCATTGCTGGTGGATCACTTGAGGGATGGCCACTGATTGGCAAGTTTCATGCCTCTGTGGGGACAGACTCAGCCCCCAACACTTGTACATGTCCCTCAGGATCTCCCCCATCCCTGGGCTCTGTCTTTCCTGCACTGTAGGGTCCTGGAGAAGAGCCAGCTCTGTCACCCAAAAATGTGTACACCTGGAGGCATAGCCAGCACAGACCCTTCTATGTCCTGCAGCAACATGGAGAGCCTGCAATCCCTCTAAACATCTACAGGAAAACAGCAGTAGGCACACACACAGATTCTCTTTGGAAACAAATCTGCAAGTGTTTTTAACATAGGGGAAGATAAAACTGAGTTCCATCTTTGGCTTTCTTACCTCCACAACTTCAGGAAATAATTCACAAAAGACTTTATCTTTTAAATTAAACACTAAACTCTGTGCTGCCAGCTGTCTTTTCTAGGAAGAAAGAAAAGGGAAATATCAGCCAGAAAGTTAATTTTAATTTTTTTGTTTTTTTTTAAGGTGGGGATTCTCTATGTAGCCCTGGCTGTCATGGAACTCACTCTGTAGACTAAGCTGTCCTCAAACTCAGAGATCCACCTGCCTCTGCCTCCCAAGAGCTGGGATTAAAGGAGTGCACCACTACTGCCCAGCTAATTTAAATAAATTTGTTTTTAAATTCTTGCCAGGCAGTACATGCCTTTCTTTAATCCTAGCACTAGGGAGGCAGAGGCAGAGGGATCTCTTTGAGTTCAAGGCCAGCCTGGTCTACAAAAGGAGTTCCAGAACAGCCACAGCATTACACAGTGAAACCCTGTCTTGGGGGGGGGGGGGGGGCAGATTCTTTAAAAAGATAGATACGGTGGTAGTGCACACCTGCAATCCCAGCATTCAGGAGGCTGAGGTAAGAGGATCACTATAGATTCAATGGCAGCCTGCCCTACATAGTGAGTTCCAGACCAGTTCCACCCTACACTAATGAAACCCTAACGGCAAAACAAAACCTCAAAACAGATCTCTGTAGAGTCAAGGATTATAGAAAGCACTTAAAATGCTTTCTCGTCTCAAAAATTAGTCTTATGAAGGCTTAATTATGTTTTTGTTATCAATTAACATTAGAGAACTAAAACAAGCAGGGAACAAAATGTTGTGCAGCCCCTTCTCAAGCCTTACAAGTCTCCTGAGGAGTACAGGAGTGTCAGTGATGCTTAGCAAGGACAAAAGCAGAGTTGGAGACAGAGTTGGGCAGTGAGGCCAAGGGCCATGTTCTGAGGCAGCCATAGCAGAGATTTCTACAATGTGGCCAGGAACAGGGCAGAATCAGCCTAGGGTGAAAGGTTGGAGGCCACAGTGCCACAAGGCCCCGGGCGAGGCGCTGCCACACCTCACCGTGAAGTCTGATGTCTCTATGCTGCCCAGGGTGGGGCCCTTCTCCACCATGAAACTCAGAAGCCCTGTTAGAATGGTGGAGACAGACCACGCTGGATTCCATGTGTCTGGGTGGAAATCTGTGATGGAGAGACATAGCCTGAAAGAGAGTGATTTTTGTCAGTAAGAATGTACATTTCCCATGATCACAGACAGCTCAAAGCATTGCATCACCTGAAAGCTTACCTTGTGTTGCACTTAAACCTTCCATTGGGGGTTATCATGTAAATACTAGGAGGCTTAAATGGAAATTCTCTGGGAAAAATTAGTTTTCCATGATAATAGCCACCTATATCAAAAGAAAAAGTCTTATTAACTATTGTTAATTATTACCCTTGTTAACATCCAGGGTTACTGCTTCTCAATTCTCACCAACCTTTCCAGTTCCCAGCTGGCTTCCCAAGCACATGGTATCCCACTGCTCTCTCTCTATGCTGGCTCACAGGCTCAATCCACTACTGACTTTATTCACCAGGGCTCATGCTACACCAACACCCTCAGCCTGTCCCCCAGCTTCTAACTCTCCATCTATTACAACCATGCCCACAGGAGTCTATAACTATCACTTGCCCTACTACAGCTACAGAACACCCCTTATCTCTCCAGACTCATGTTCCACCCTTACTGAGAACTGAGTGGTCAGAAGAAAACTTGCAAGGGGTCCCAGCCTCCTACACTACTTCATTTGGTTCCTAGGAAATACATTCCTAGCACCAGCATTTGTCTGCAGGGAGAAAAATTAGGAAACACCCACTTGCATTTCAAAGAAAAGGGTCACATGAATGGATGTCAGGTATGAGCTGGTGAAAGAGGAATCTATACGACATATAATGCAAATTAGATAAGAAAACAACAAGTTATTGGACATCAGTTAACTATTTGCACTAAAGAACACATAAATGAAGGCTGAAGAGATAGATCAACAGTTAAGAGCTTCCTCCCATGCAAGCATGAAGATCAGAGTTTGGATTCTAGAACCCACATAACAAGATGGTCCCACACATGCCTATAACTCTTAATAATGAGAGTAATGGAGACAGACGGAGACCTGGGGCGTGTTGGCTGCTAGTCTAGCAGAAAAATAATGAGGTCAGGGAGACTGTCTCAATGGAACAGGGAGACCTGACACACGTAAGTATGGACTAGCACATGCATGTGCACACCCCTACTCCCAAACCCCCACCCACTAAAATGTGATTCGTTGTGTATAAATACACATTATTTATTGATTGGTTGTGCTGGGGATTAGACCTAGGGCCTTGCACATTCTTTTTCTTTTTTTTTTAAGATTTATTTATTATTATTATTTATTTATTATTATTATTATTATTATTTATTTATTATGTATACAGTGTTCTGTTTGCATGTATCCCTGCAGGCCAGAAGACAGCATCAGATTGCATTACAGATGGTTGTGAGCTACCATGTGGTTGCTGGGAATTGAACTCAGGACCTCTGGAAGAGCAGCCAGTGCTCTTAACCCCTGAGCCATCTCTCCAGCCCAGCCTTGCACATTCTTAAGCAAGCACTCTACCACTGATCCCTATATCTAATTCCAAGACACAGGTTAAATTACAAAGAATACTCAATGTTTGTGGGTAGTCATGGGTCTCACCCTCAAAACACGAAGATGTGCCAGGGGAATACTTTTACAAAAATGACCACAGCAAGACAGACCCTCTGCCCTGCAATCAAAGTCAGTTCTTGCCATGGAACACAATCAGCAAAAGCTCTTCTACATACCTACCCAAGAAGAGCACAGAGAAGTCTATGAGGGATGAGCCACAAGCACACCCTTGGCTAAAGTCTAGGGACAGAAACCCAGAGAACACAGCAGAACCATAGATGCCCAAAACCACTTTGTCAGGCTATGCTTCCCTACTGGCTTGTGCTTTGTCAATATCAACTGGCTGGTGATAGGCACTCTTTCTAGGTTCTACATTATGCTCCACAATCTGTATCCCTGCACCACTGCTTGTTCCTCACTGCAAGAGCCACATAATATATGGGAAACAGTGGCTCTACCCATTTAATTCTCCTTTCAAAATATTTTTTTGGAATCTACTTTAGTTCCTTTGTCCTTTCATATAAATTTTAGAGTAAGCCTTAACATTACTAAAACATGAATAAGATTACATTAAATCCATGATTAGTGGTAAATTATTAGCAAACTTTCCTTAGGAAGCCAATTTTGTACTTTTAGGATGGGTGTGCTCAAGAACACTAGGAATAGGACTATCATAGAGCTCCAGTCAAAGATGTTTGCAGTTACAGAGGAGCCATTAGGAAAGCAAGGAGGAAGGGCCAGAATACCTCAAACACAGAGGAAGAACACACCAGGAATGTGGCCATCAACAGCATGATATACTAGAGGATAAGAAATTGAGGAAAGCCCTTGGCCAAGACAATTTAGAGGATTCCTTATAGACTCCAGGAGAATGTTATCTGCAGCTCCTAGTAGTCCCATTGAGTAGGGACAGCTGAGGAGGGCAGTAAAGAGGGGATGACAAGGGTTCAGTAAACTGGCAGCCTGAGGGACAGTACCCACAGAAGAGGATAAGGAGATGGAAGAATAGGGATTCCAGCACTAATGGCTAAGACAGTAGAGAAAAGGGTTAGGAAACGGGACCAGGTGGAAGCACAGTGACAAAGTCAGGGTTCAGCTGGCAAAACTAGGTAATCTCCAAGACTCTGCTCATGCATCCTTCACTTCAGGGCCACACTCTTTTCTCCCTGTGTCCAGCCATTCCAACATCAACAAACCTTGGCTGGTCTAGCACTAGGAGAGGTCCCGTCACACAGGGTTTAAATGTTTACTATTTACTTTACATTTTAAAAAGAGGATGGAGAGGTTCAGCAGTTAGGGGCACCTACCTGTTGCTTTTGTAAAGAACCTCCTCTCTGGAGTGTTCCACAAGGTTTCCACCTATAGGCAAAGACCTGTTGTTTTTGTCGTCTTAAGTTAGGCCTGATAGCTGGAAGAAGAGGCACTGCCCACATGGCCAGTGCTCTGCCCTGGGCTTGCCTGTGAGATGGTGTCAATCTTGCCATAGGACCCTAGAAATATGGACTAATTTGTCAAATCACTGAGGGCCCTAGTAACATCTGGTTACCTGAGGGATCAGGACACCAGGTCAACATTAGCAAGCAATAAAGAGATAAGAACCTGTTAGGTCCTATATCCCTCCTAACCCTCACATGCCTCCACTTAGCTTGGAAACTATTCTGAAGACATTAAAAAATACCTTGCACTAATTTTTTGACAACATTCCCTTCGGCCTTAGAAACAGAAGAATGCTTTGCTATTTATTCCAATCTGTTTTCCCCTGGGCTGGAAAGATGGCTCAGCAGTTTAAGAGTACTTGCTGTTCTTGCAAGAGGATCCAACAACCACATGGTAGAGCACCATCATCTCTAACTCCAGGATCTGACCCACCCCCTCTTCTGTGGGTACCAGGCACACACATGGTACACATATAGTCAAGCAAATACCCATACATATAAAATAAAATTAAAAAAAAAAATCTTTTCCCCATCTCTAGCCAACATAAGAGGCCAAGGAAATGCAGATGGTAATTACAAACAGTCCAGAAATACCAAAATGAGCAAACATTTCTAGGACTTAAGAAAAATACTAGGATGAGATTCAGGTAAATCTAATTTAACTACTACATATCCAAAACAGAAAGACTTTTATTTACACTGATAGGAATGATTCTTTTTTTTCTACTCACCTTCATAAGGAGTCATCTCAGGGCCTCGGACAACATAATGCCTGAGAGAGAGAAGCAAATTACTTGATCTGTAGACCATGAATTCTCTAAAACTATAAAGTTCTTACAAAAGGCCTAGCACTGATGTTTGGGGGCAATACCCATCACTCTAAGCAAAAAAAGGGACATACATACACATCATGGCTCCTGCTAAGTCCTTCTCTCCTAGGAGATTGGTGTTTTAGTAGGTGGCAGGCACAGGTGCCTAATGGCCACTCAAACAGAACCTGGGCAACAAGTGTCTGATGAGTTTCTTCAGTGACATGTCACATGTGCAGTCTAATCTCACTGTTGGGGAGCTAAATGTGCTTTGAGTAAATGCCCAAGACCAGGAATCTAGATGCTTCTTTCTGCATTCCTGTGGACTTGACCCCACCCACCTCTTCCCTTTGTTGTTGTTGTTTTAATCTTTTCGTACTAACAAATCTCTCTCTTTCTCTTTTTTTTTTTTTTTTTGGTTTGGTTTTTTGAGACAGGTTTTCTCTGTGTAGCTTTGGAGCCTTTCCTGGAACTCGCTCTGTAGCCCAGGCCTGCCTCTGCCTCCCAAGTGCTGGGATCAAATGCATGCGCCACCACACCTGGCATTAGGCATTAAAGTATTTTGTAAAAGATCAAATTCACCAAAGCAAGAGAAATGTTAAAAACAAAACAAAACAAAACAAAACAAAACACAACTGGGCCACACTACACAGGCTAGCCTGGAACTCAAGAGGTCCACCTGCCTCTGCCTCCTGAATGCTGGGGTTAAAGGTGTGTGTACCACACCCAGTGAGAAATGCTCACCAAAGCTGGCAATGAGCATTTCCACAGAGAACATGTAATTTCAGGACTCTAAATTTTTAACACAGCAAAAGAACTACCAAGAAACAAATATTTTCCACAAGCTCTGTCAGCTTGAGATTTGTGAGCACTTGGCCTAGGCTGGAGTCAGGGGTTCGTGTCAAGACTTTGCCACCAATGCTCCCAGGCTAGACAGCTAATTCCCAGTATCAGGAAGCAAAATGCAGCCTAACCCTAATTCACATGAACAACATCTGAAAGCTTTGTATACCCAAAGCCTGCAATGAGGACTACCCAAGATTTTTCCTTTCAGTCCTAGCCTAAGCCAAGCAGAACTCCCTAATATTCTTGACATGGCATTCATTGAAAAGCCCAGAATAGACAGGCATCTCAAGTATCTATCCATAGCTGAGGAATTAACTACTGCCTCTGCCCACCAGCTAGACCACTACAGAACCTGCAAGAGAGTTACTATGCTGCAGAGTGAGCAAGAATGCAGAATCTTACCATTCAAGAATATTTGAAGGGAGGGGCTCTGCACAGATGTAAGGCACCGGATCTTTCTTAATTCGAAGGTAGTCCTGTTTCAACCTTTGTGTTGCTGTTGTTGGAGCTCTCTTATTGCTGTTATTGCTCATCTATTTAAAAAGAAAAAGAAAAAGCATCTCTACTTACAGAGAACATAAGAACATACACATGCATTCCTTACTATAGACAACTTCAGATGACTGACTACCTCTGCTTTCCTTTCTGCAGCCCACCAACCATCAAGCCCGTCCCTCAGCTCTTTTTCTGTATGTCCCTACCACCATCACCGCTTTCATTTATGCAACATGATACCAAGTGTCTAACACAGATGAAAGGCATAAAGAACCATGAAACTGCATTGCTGTCCTCAAAGAATTTACAGATTAATTCATTCAAGTGGGATCTGGGTAGGTATACTGAAGCCAGCCTACACCAGCTCTACATGTCCTTTAACTCTGTTCAGCAACACCTCGGTAATGAACATTTCACAACAGGAAATTAGTGAGTACCACAGGCCTTCTCCTGGCCTGGAAGCCTGTTATACATTTACCACTGATCACAATTAACAGCAGTAGGGGCAAAGAGATGATGTGATACTTTCAGAGATCTAGATGCATGTACTAGGCAGAGTAGAAGGCATGTTTAGGGGAGCACATTGGTCACCATGTCAGGCAGGAGCTCAAACACAGTGAAGGAAAATGAACAAGACTAGCCAGAGTCAAGTCAAACTACCAGAATCCTGAGTTATAGGCCCTAGTCTTATGGTACATGTGGTGGTCTAAGTAATAATGGCCCCCATAGGCCCCACTGCAAGTGGCACTATTAGCAAGTATGGCCTTGCTGGAGGAAGTGGATCATTGTAGGGCAGGCTTTAAGTCTCAGATGCTCAAGCTAGGCCTAGAGAGGCATTCACTTCTGCTGCCTGTGGATCAAGATGTAGAACTCTCAGTTCCTTCTCCAGCATGTCTGCCCACATGCTGCCATGATGATAATGGACTAAACCTCTGAAACTGTAACCCAGCCCCAATTAAATGTTTTCCTTTATAAGAGTTGCCATGGTTATGGTGTCTGTTCAAAGCAATAGGACCTTCTATGAGGAAGGTCACTCTGGAGCCTCAACATAAGGCAGCAGTCAAGGATACATACAGGGAGTGAGACCATGACAATGCTAAAGAGAAAGAACTAGGGCTTTTGCGATGTCTTGGTGAGCAGGTAAAAGTGATTGCCAGACAAGACTGATGAAAGGAGTTTGATCCTCACAATCCAGATAATGAAAGGGAAAGAACTATCTACTTCAAGTTGTCCTCTGACATTCACACACAAGCCCACAGACATGCACAAACATGCATGCATCCACAAACAATAAATAAATATATATATAAAAACTTTTAAAGAGGACTGGAGAGATGGCTCAGCGGTGAAGAGCACTGACTTTTCCAGAAGACCTGGGTTCAATTCCCACATGGCAGCTCACAACTGTCTGTAACTCCAGTTCCAGGGGATCTGACATCTTCACACCAAAGCACGTAAAAAAAAAAATTTAAAAAAAAACCTTTTAAAAGAGAAGAGACCAACTGGATGTGGTGGTACACATCTTTAATTACAGCACTTGGAAGGCAGAGGCAGTCAAATGTCTGAGTTGAGGCCAGCCCAGTCTACATAGTGAGACTCTGTCTCAAAAAAGAGAAAGGACTGAATCAGGGACTCAGACCCGTTAGCTATACTCCAAAAGGAGGAGGCAGTGATGAATTGAATAGGGTTCCCTCTGCCACAGATGTCAGAAGAGCTCCTACTTGTTCTCTTTTCTCATGATTTAAGAAAGAAACACAAAATTCTACAACTAAAAAAAAGTATGAATACTACTAGTCTAAAATACAATTGAGGGGCCACTTAGGGATATACAAATTAGAGGAGATAGTAGGCTGGTGAGATGGTTCAGTGGATAAAGATACTTGTTGCCAAGTCTGATGACCTGAATTCAATTCCCAGGACCTATATGACAGGAAAGACTACCACAAGCTGTTCTCTGACCTCTACACACATGCTATGGCACACACCTCCCCAGTACCAAAAATGAATAGTTTATTTATTTTAAGTTTAAATGAAAAAAGCAGGAGATGAACTTGACTATAACAGAGCAGGTTGGACATGGGCAGTTACAGATGGCCATATCTTGTGGTACTGAAAACCCAGATTTGCCCATTGCAGCCTCCTCCTTTTCTTCCCACCACTCTCTTGGCCACTCTATCCCTAACCTGTCTCACACAGCGCTGTCTGGTCACTTTAACCATGACTATAGACATCAACGAACATCAATAATAGCTGTGATTCCCCATCTTGATCTCCCAAACTAGATAAACCTAAAGTCAACCCTATCCTGTCCTTTGTATGAATTATTCCCAGCAGAGAGCCACATGTTTTTTCACTCTTCAATATTTGCTTATACATATTATTTGAGAGTCAACAACTTTTAACTATTTGGCCTAATTTCTTGGTAGACATCATCACCACAGACCTCTGCATCTGCCTCCTCTACCAGGATATTGATACCTCATGACAACCAAGGTATCTCTGTACCCTCAGGGCCTACAAAGGGGATAGCTCAGCCAGGATATCCACCACAATCCTCTTATGTGCACAATATCAGCCAAAGTGCCCATGTGGCTTCTCAATTGGGGAAATGGGGGATGAACCCTAATCCATGCATTACTTGCTCACTTCCTTCTAGTCCCAATAACGATAATGCAGGAACACATTACTTTCCTGTCAACCACAAGAACCTCAAATCTCTTCACACTTCCCCTTGTGCACTAAAATCAATGCAGTTTAACCATCCACTCCCCACCAAAGACAGCAGATAAATGGCAACAGCTTCTTTATCTGCCAAACTCTTCAAATAACCCATCTAGACATAGTTCTCATAGCACCTAGTAAAGCCCATCTTCCCTGCCCAGTTTGGACTGGTAGAAAATACACCTACATCCTTTCCTAGCTAGTCTGAGCTACATCCATCAGGGTCCTCCCTGACTTCCCTAATCAAATGCTTCCTTTTCTGTTCTTCACAACCACACCACCACCACCGCCATCACCATCACCACCATCACCACCATCACCACCATCACCACCATCACCACCACCACCACCGTCTAAGATATAGTGCACAAGAACCTTTCTGGCAGAATCAAGGGCTTTTGCCTGATGCTTCCAAGAATGTTCACACCAGGAACAAGGTTACAGTC